TAATTTATGGGGGAAGACTTACGAATATTCTTTCCAAATCATAATTTTTTTTTTAGATTTTATCTATTCTAGAAGCATCTTTTTGAACCTAGTTGTTCTCTTTCACAATTGATATAATTAATTTAAGAGATCGTTACCATTAAAATGGAAGTTGAAGAAGGTTGGGACGCTGCAAGTAATAATGAAAAGGATAACATGACACTTGATAAAAACGAGTTAAGTGCACCACTTTTTACGGACGATGATGCATTGCGTTATTTCAGCGTCACTGATGTTACCAAATTACTTCGCTCTGCGTACCTTAGTAACATGTTTAAACGTTTGAGTGATTATGAGGATCCTGATGGCATGTCAAAGAACGCTATTACCGTAGACGACCCCGAGTATGCTTACTTATCTGACTGTAGTAATTTGGTCTTACGAATAGAAGCTGAAAAGTCTCGTGTAATGGCCTTCTTGCGCGCCCACTATGGTATTCGATTCCCCGAGTTGGCAATGTTCCTTACAGACATGGTTCTTTATGCCAAAGTCGTTAAAGTGATCCAGAACAACATGGATCTTACTGCCGTTGTCGACGTCTTAGATGAGCTCATTCCTTCCCAGATGCTGGTGGTTATTATAGTATGTGCTTCCACAACAGCGGGTCGTGATCTTACTGAGGAGGAATTGAAACGCGTTCTAGTAGCTTGTCAAGAAATGGAGAATCTAGAACTGGCAAAGCAAACCTTCCTTGAGTATATTCAGTGCTCTATGCCGTTAATAGCCCCTAATCTGTGTGCTTTTTTGGGCACAGGTATTACATCTCAACTTTTCGCGATCACGAGCAGCTTGGCAAAACTTTCAGTGATGGATGCTAGTGAGTTGGCGGTTCTTGGAAGCCGGCGTGGCACCGATTCCGGTATTGCGATGCGAACAACGGGCTTTCTCAGCAATTCAGATCTTGTATGTAACTTACCACCACAGCTGCGACCTAAGGCCCTGCGCCAGGTAGCTGTGATAACGCTTAACCTTGCTCGAATTGATGCTAATCGACGTGCTGGAAACAAGGACGCTGGTATTAAGGAGCGGCGTAGTTTGTGCAATCGCATGAAGGTCTGGATAGACCCTCCTGTCATCCGGGGAGCTGGGCATAATACGTATGAGCGCCGTGGTCGACAGCGTCGGCGCAGACGATTTTAAATGCGGTATGGGAACTGATGGGATACAAGCATATGCGTCTGCCTGAATAGTGAGTGTGTGATGCTGTATTTGCTCTTTTTAATCGCATCCGTGTGATATCACTTTTATCCTTTCTTCGTAATATTCTTCTCCCTTTCTCTGATTTAGTTGATCTCACCTAAAATAATCCGAATATGGATTTTATAGAACTTGGACTCAATTTGGCTGTGCTTGTTCACCATTTGTTTCATAAGCATCTTAATGACCCTAGAAAGGCATTTTATGAGCTCACTTTGCGTACAGGGTCTGCCTGCACCGAACAGGACCTTCAGTTAGCGCAAAATGTTTGTGAATTAACAAAAACAGTCTGGTATCAGGACATGACTGCACGTTTCCGTTCCATGTTAGATTTTGTCCGAGATAAAAACAAGGAAACTATTCAGGAAATGCGGGATTTAATCAATGAGCTTTACCCTCGTGGATGCGCTACTAGTGAGTTTGCAAATGTTGTGGAAACTTGCACAGCTTTGATCCCCTACACCATCCATTCTGAAAAAATTTCCAGATTCATGGATGAGCAGAGTGATACCCTGCATTCTGATAGGATATACGAGCTTTCGGCTGAAGAGCTGACCCAGCGCATAGTAAATGACTTGCTAGTAAATTCTATGATTCCCCCTTTATGGTGGCGTGAGGATCATGCGATCTCTGGGGGAGCCGTTGGGACGATAAAAGTGACAAAGGTGGCCCTACGTTTGTCACCATTAGAAATCGTCATCCAATACACGAGATCGCCATGGGCTGTCAGAGTCCGCAAGATCCATCTTGGGTCAGTTCTTTCCTTAGGTGGTCCTACCGCACACATTGCAAGACGCCTTGCCAGGTCACATGGTTCGCTTCTGGGAGAAAAAGTGTTTCAGAGACTCCTGATCAAGCTACAGCATTTGGCAACACAATCGGAGTGTATACAGGAGAAACCTGAAGGGGTCATATCGGGGGTTACCGAGGCTTTAGATATGCTGGAGTCTGTTCCACCCGCCCTCCCGGCAAATATGGAAGTGACAGACACTCTTGGAACAGATATTTTAATGAAGGGAAAACCACAAAAGGCAGATTTAGGATTACTTTATCGTGACCCAACCAAAGCGCTAGAAGACGTAGACCTCAATGACGCAGACGAGCTTACAACAAAAGAGTTCAAGGAATTTATGAATAAAGATTTCCAAAAAGTAGCAATCAAGCCAGGTGATCCAGGCTACATATACGACAAACGGGTTAATGTAAACCCAACCAAAGACAGTGCATGGGATGACTTGGACTCGAACTAGAAAGCAGCTAGGCAAATTAATACGATAGACCTCATCCGATATTAGTTTCTCAATTAAATCAAGAGCTATCTTTTTTTATAGCTTACCCTTTTTTCTCTTTTATTTCTCATCATTATCGGTTGTGTTTTTGACCTTTTGTCAAATGTTTAATTTGAAATACATAGGGAATACTTTTAGACTATCTTGTGTAATTCGTATGCTCTTAATCATACGGCAAAAACGCATTTACAGGACCTTTTAAATAAAAATTCATGCTCTTCTTTTTCAAAACCTGAGTTCCTTCGAGTCTCAATTAATTATGCTGCTGTAATCAGCGCCCTCTCAGACTTTTTTCGTGAATTTACCCATTTTCATTTGCTACTCACACTTTTGAGATCTTTCCTTTTCAGAGTAGCTTATATTGCTATTTTTACTTTTGTTAGTTTCTACCTTACAATAATGAACGTCCCTCTCAAGACTAGTATCAACACTCGGCTTCCATTGTCTTTACGTCTGCCGCGAACATCGAATAGCCAAGCCGAACAACACACCGGCTTTTCTTCTATTCACCAAACAAATGAGTCCATTTATGATGTTGATTACAGTCTAATTCCACTTAACCTTAAGCCTGAGAAAAACACTGAAGTCAATAGCCCTACAGACTCCGGTTTTGTTCGGGAAGGAAAGAGCTCAGATGAAATAATTTTAGAATCTGAGGAGGATGTAGTCCCATCTCAGCTGCCTTACAAGGTTGTTTCAAGCCCATCGTCTAGATGGGAGTCAGAAGCGCACTCCGCGGCACGTTCTATCGAGCCCGGTCGACAGACAGATTTTTACAGCATTGTACGCAAGATCGAGCGTAAACATGACGATGCGCGAGTGTATGGACCGAATGTAACCCAACGTGCGGAGCAAATTCGCATGACGCGCTCTCAGGATCCGTCTTTGGGGCCATCTGCCCCTGAGTATGTTCAACTGGCGTCCACCCAAGTTCGAAGTGAAATTCCTCAAAAGCGGCTGCTTAAGAACTATTTAGATATTGTTGAGTGTTCTCATCTTAATCCTAGAACAGAGTATCAGGTCGGCTTCGACGTTTTGCCAAAGTCTCGCCTTCCATCGCTTGATTTTTCCCAACCGTTTCAATCCTCAAACGAAATTAGAACCAAAATGAAAGGCTCACTCAACCTATTCAACGATACTCCGAACTGTATTCAACGCGGAATAGTCGGCCACACTCGTCACATTTCAAATACAGGTCAAAACTTTTGCACGATGCACAATGACAAGGATCCACGCGCAGCTTTCGCAAAAGCGTACATGACGCTTGCAGTGGCTGGTGGTGGAGTAGATTCTAGTGTGAATCGGCAAGGCGCTGCTCTCTTCCGGAGACGTGGAAGGCATTCTCGGGGATCTGTTGCCCTAAAACCTAGAAGTGATGAAAATATTTGTCGAACGGTTGAAGGTTCTATGCTTCAGCAAACTATACATCGTTCTCTTGACAGCGAACGTATGATGAATACTCGAGAAGATTATAGACGAAAATCTGAATTCTAAACACAGAGTTCTTCTTTATTGCGCTTTTCGTTTCTTTACCCTAATGCATGGCATTCTTAGTTCAATTATTGAAGTGCATTCTTACGTCTAGCATTTTTTTTAGGAGAGTGTGTGCCGGCGGGAATAGAATTATGTATAACTCCTATGATTGTATGTAGAATTATTCGGAAATTGTCAATTCATATTTTCATACTTTAGACATGTCTTACCTTTCCATTTCCCTCTTAATATTGTTTCAAAACTAATCGCAAAGGGAAAGTTGTTTTGATGTCCCTCTTGCACGAGAAGTTATCATCTACTCTGATTTTATATTTTCCATCTCCGTTTATCAGGAAAATAGCTTATATCTCTATTTAACTGAAATAATGTGACGAAACAATATACCTAATAGTAGTGTAACTTTACTGATTATGTAGCCAATGATAGCAGTTTAAATTACCAGAATTAGTTGCTTGCAGATGTGGTTCTATTTTTGGTTTCATTTCACATTACAGGGTTTTGGACGCAAAACAATAACTTATGGTATAAAAGTGGACAAATCATCTTCAACTGATTTTTTATTTTTGTTTACTATGAGTTGACCTTACAAAGGGATGTTTTCAACCCTAACTATCATACTCTTCTTCATGGTGTTTGTGAAGAACTTTATCAGTTAAATCATTAAAAAGGTATTTGCAAGTGGGTGCTGGTATTATTCTAGTTCTAATGACTTTGACATAGTCTGAAGCTAGTCGAGACCATGTGCATTTATATTCTAAAATCAAGCTTGTCGATTGAAATGAAGAGCATACAAAAGCACAAAAACAAAATTATCTATAATTTTTATAGTGGTATGCTTTTATGGTATCAAAAGGTTGGTGTGCTATCCAGCTTTTAGAAGGAAGCTCCACGGTTTCTCACTGTGGCCCTATCAGATTAAATTTGAGTTTGTTTCATGACTTATTGGTCGGATTTTTCATTTCAAATTAGTTTTATCATCCTGAATTGGTACGATAAGGCATGAACAATACTTGTTACAGTGAATACAGTTTCGGTTTGCGTTTAGAGTTGGAACGCGTATTGCTACCAGTCCTTTTACTTTATATATTTTGGTATCACGTGTCGAAAAATTTTCTTACTATGGATGCTCATCTTACCTTTAACCATACTGTTCGCGATCCCTAGAAGAACAAAAGAGCCCACCAAACCATTCAAGACCGTAGAAGGACCAGATCAACGTATCTTTGTCTCTGCAGGCAGTACAGGTTTTCCGACGTTATTATTTCATGGACTTTGGGCTGAAAATTATCATGTGGGGGGCGTCAGAATTTTTTTGCGACAACACTTTTTATTCATACGGGTCTTCATATTCTTACGATTTCTTCAAGTGAATTATTCCAATTTATAGTTATAGTTATATATATATACTCCTATTCCCATTAAACTGTCTTAAGATAAGAACTATGACCATCAAGAGAAGTTATACCATTTAATGTATCTCTATTCAAAAAAATACTATTCCTTAAAGCAACATCCTAAAACATTAAATACCACAATTGTCGATATATGTGACGTTTTTTTTCTGTACTCTCCCAAACATTTTTATACTGTTTGATTTTTATTATTAATTTACTCCCCTTTCCAATCTTAGTTTGTGTGATTTAGTTCTCAGGGGTACGCGATATAGTAATACTAACTATTTTCATCATATTTTGTTAGTGTATGTTACATTCATGAGGGATATCAAATGTATCCCCAAGACACTATTTGGGAAAATAATTCATCAAAGAAGAGCAACTTGCCATATTAGCAGTTATGAGGCGTTACCATTGTCTGTTACACAATATACTATCCCAGCTAGCTTGACAATTACACGAAAATGTGTGGAGGCAAAACAGCCTAATACTAGCATCGATGTGTGTGCATACTTGGTTCGTTTTTTACACGCGCTTGCATCGCTTTCTTATACTAAAACAGGTACTCAGTCACGGGGGTCAGTTGTGCCTGTGTTTGCTTTCATTGAATCTAAAATGCCATCAAGGAAGTATCGTCTGCCTGCTATTAATTCTTCGAGCTCTATGACTAGCACTTTAATCGTTCAAAAAATGAGATTGCACTCACTTCGTAAATCTGTGATTCTCAATTTTAGTGCCCGTCGTGATTTAAACACAAAATCCACAGACGATTCAAATGTGTCTGTCACAACCTTGTGTGAACGGCGCACCACTGCATGCTCGAAGTGGTATGCAAAGCAGGCCAACCAAAATTTTATGTTCCCCGAGGACATTCTCCACGTCGACTCTGAGTACCTTTTAAATTTCAAAAGCCAAAAACGGCCTCCAAGCTCGATCGATATGTTTTTAGGGTGTCTGCGTGTGGCAGACTCCATGAATTGGGATCTCTCTGTTCTTTTCAAGCAGATACCGTTTTTAGTGAAGATTGAAGTGATATGCAGGGTGCTCCAGAGGCAGGACAAAATGGTACGCGATGAAACCTGTTCAACATGCTTGACGTTGGAGCATATGCTTCAGACTATTCTCAGGGAAGCGACAGCTAAACTGGGGGATGAGGCATGGTTAGTACGTGTTATCATGCATTTGGACGAAACTCACGTGGGTACTGTGATAAAAGATTTCACAATGTTGCGACAATTGTTGAAAATGTCTCTATTTCTTTCGCCTATCAGCATTTTACCACACATTGACCCTGATAGACTAATATATCACGTACTTCAGTTAGGAGAGCGAGTGTTCGATGGCTGTTGGCAGGAATGGTCTGATGCGCTTGCGGAAGCAGGGCTGCGTTTCGAAGCATGCGCCTATGCTTATGCCGAGTCTCCGAGGAGGTTTCTGGAGCCACAACGTGAACCTTCACTAAAGGGATTTGGGAATGCGGTGCTGGAGGCACTAACTCAGTCCCAATTATTAATCGAAGCAGTTCAAAAACTTGGCAAACGGATGCCTCGAAACTTGGCACATTACACATACTGTCTTGCTGCTCTTTCGATTATACGGCAACCACACAAGTCTTTCCAATGCTCTTGCTACACTGAAAGGCACATTTCTTTTCCCTTTGACCTGCTGGAAACTTCTATGAGTCGACTTGAATTTGCAAGCCTAATTCATTTTACGTTGTTTTCCGGAAACTGCCATACTGCGCACCTGCTACTTGCGCAATGTGCGACGCCAAAAGAGATAGCAAGAGTGATGCAGCATACTCGTGACGCCGGAAACTTTTTGAGCCTAACGGCTCTTAGGGAAATGCTGTCACGAAGTCCATCGGAGTGTGCATATGTTGTTCTACATTTGGCTGAGACTGAAGCCCCCCTCTTGTTTGATGTGAAGGCGCATTGTGTAGACCTCGAAATGAGCGTCTGTTTTTTTTCTACTCAACCTGGAGGCATTCAGCGCACACGAGCCAAAATGGCGACACATCAATGGAGAGAGATTTATAAAGTCCTGCAGGATGTATTGCCACTTTCAGTTCTGAGCACTGGGTGCCAATCACTGGAGATATTGCTAAAAAATGTTCCCATCACAGCTATTCCTTTCCTAGTTCGCACCTTCTCTCCATTCACGTCAGAGCTGGTTTCGTGGTGGGCTTCATTATATATCCATTCTGGTAATGAGGATGCGGCTATGAAACTACTGAGCTGTAGCTTAAGTCGAAATGTTCTTCCAGAAGTATGGGTTTTGGTAGAGCTCCTAGAATTTCACCGAAATCACGAAAAGAACTTTAAATCTTGTGTTGAGCTTATTAGGACACAGTTTGCTGGATTGTCTACTGCAGTCTTTAGGGCTTTTGTAGAGCGTACTGCTTACCACCGGGGTGTAGGTTTAAGCGACAAAAGCATGTCCGAACAGGCACTTGATCTTCTGTCGAGCGTTGCGATCCTGGGTTTATCACATTACCCTGTTGTGTGTATTCAGCAAATTTTGGAGAAAGCCTCGACTCCTGTGGTAGGAGCTATATTGCAGCTTATAAAAGATGGTGAATCAAAAACATTTGGAAATTCCCCTGCACCTCTTCAGGTTGATGTCGTGGAACGTCTAGTCGCTGCGGCTCATACGCTCGGACTCAGCCCCAAACTGGATGTCTATGTGGTATTTGGCCCCTCCAAAGAATTGACATGGTGGTCATCCCATGGTCTTCCTTGTACAAAATGCGCCGTGCATCGCTTGTACAACAGCGGTACTACAGGGCTATGGCCACTGGTCTTTGGGCGCATCCATTCCTTATCGCGTTTAAACGTAATGGAGGCACACCAGGCTGTTAGACTCATGGCGGTTGGTTGTGACAACTCGAAGACAGTGTGCGAGGCTGTGTGCGCCTCGCAAGACTATCTCTTAGGGGATTCCAGTTTATCCAGACCCCTGAAGCGTCAAAACGAATCCACTTTAATTATGACTCTTGCGTGTGTTGCTTCGTCACTTACCGCACGAGGAGAATGGAGGGCAGCCCTGCAACTTATCAGTCCTTCTGTAAAGGACTTGCCTCCTTTGTTACGTATCCTAAAGTTTCAGGCGCTACTTCAGGACCCTCAGGCACGAGAGTTTGCTGAAATGAATTTAGCGGATAGTATACATGCCTTTGTTGAAGGTAATGAAACCGCAAAGGCTTATCGTTATCAACCCCTTTTATACAAAGGTCGGTGGTTTCCTAGGACTCGATTTCACGAACGCTTACCACGTGCGGTATTGAGAAAAAGAAGCCGTGTAGATCGACCTTGGCAGAGTTACTTGACATTCACTAAATCTTTAAAGAGACTTCTCGCAAAATGTGGGAATAATGTTCTTGTTGCTCACCAACCTTCTGCTTTTTCGTGAAAAAACAACCATATGACGCCGTGCTCTCCTATTCCCCCCCCCCTCTCTCACAAATAATATTTTTGTTATCCGAATGTTTATTTTATTAACCACCTTTCTGTTTTCCTTTTTTTGTTACATTTTTGTGTGTACTTCTTTGATATTAATCTCACGCTTGTTGTTACATGTGTAGTTGTATTTTGCTTTAAGAAAAAGGGGTTTAGCGTACAATATGAGGAAAACAACGTCCTATTTGGGCGGGTTTACAATGAAGTACATCAAAGGCACAGGTCTCTACGATGAAGATCATGTCAATGACTTTAACGCTAATCCTTATATGTCTGCGCGTACCACAATGCGGTGGTATTATCAAATGGAGCGCCATCAAACGCGAAGCAATCTTAATGCGAGGCAGGCTACACAGAGCTATAATAATAATATGGGTCTGCACCACAGTGGACGTGGCGCGTTTGAGCGTGAAGCGGAACGTCGGGGTATCAAGGTTGAAAAGTATTCTCTTACAACAACTACTGGTTCGGCACGCGTAGCTGAAATGGTTCTTTTGCGTCGAGAAAAACTTGAGGGGCAATCATCGAAGTTCATGGAGTCTAAGCGTGCAGAGCTGCGTCGATCGTCACCGTCTGGATGGTACGATGAGTCTAAGGGACCTCTTAATCCAAATTTCCTCAAGAGCATCCAGATGAATTATGATGTGAATATTCTAGACCTTCCAAATACGCCATTGATGAGAGTTTCCACCTGAATGAACCATGTTCTATCTTTTTACACATTATTTAAAAATAAAGAGTATATGGGGGTGATGGTATTCGGTATTTTGAAACGGTGTAATTTGTTAAAATGTTTTACCTCGTCTTCTAATTCATTAGATGATGTCTTATTTTGTGTCGGTTTAATCCAACAGATATAGTGTGATATGTACTTTTGTGTCTACATCACAGAAACTCGATTATAGTTTAACTTTTAATACTTAAATACATCCACAAACAAAAATATATATACATATACATATATAGTGAGTTCTTGATTGCTTCTTAATTCATTTTAACGAAGTACCAGAGTTTTCCAAGACAGTCTTACATCAAGACATCACTATTAAAATCCACTACAGCACTTATCCACAAAGGTTTAACCTTAAAAATCATGAGATGACAAACAATATATTACCGTATGATGTTGTCTACTGCAGTAGTCAAGATCCTCAGCACTCAATAAAAAATATCTTGGGACGCATCCCTGTCAGGGACAACGAACAATATATAGAGTCTTCTTTGGCAAGTGGCGGGTGGCAGAGTAAAAAGAATTCCAAGACAGCACCAATCCTCGTTCTACGCTTCCCAGGAAATGTTTGGTTGCATCAACTCAAAATTATTATGCACAAAAATAAAATAGCATCCAGAGTCGAGATCAGCATTTTTAAATTGCAGGGTGAGGCTTTTGTGAAACCTCCGTCGTTCAAGTTGTTAAACTTCCAGAAACTCGGTACTGTAAATTTCAATAGCAACGAACAGCCTGACGCTATGTCCAAGGAACACAAGACATTCCATCTAAAAACTGAAGCGTACTTCGTGAGACTTGTATTTAATCGAGTTTCCGTGAGCAATTCGAATAAATATAGGCAGGTCGGTGTTTACTCCATCGAATGCGTTGGACGTCTACTTACACTCATGCCTTTTCATGCTGATACCAACGTTCTACATGTCGTTAACGTTGAATCGAGCAGCCTGGACTTATTGCCTTCTGGAGTGCGATCCCCTTGTAACCCATCAAGAAATAGCTTATATCTTGTCGATTCCGAACTATCCAGCGGTAGAAACACACCTTGTGTTAGACAAAGCAACTCAGCCTCTGCATCACACCCAATGTCTTCTCTAAAGGATGTTCATCGCCATCAAGGTGCAGCTAATTCCATGCTATCTATCCAAACAAGTCCTTTTCTTATGGCATCCCCAGAAATGAAATCCTTCCGATCAGTTAGGATTGTAGAATTTGAAGAATTCTTTCTTCAGCGTTTAGAGGATTTGTTTTCGCTTAAGGAACAGGCAACTGCTGTTAATGATTTCGACATCGTCAGAAAATGCGAGGAAAAACTGTTCGATCTTGATAAAGCGTCCAGAGCAGTTTACCGCCTAGAACAATGCAAAATTCAGGCAATTATTGAAGAAGACTTTATTCGTGCTGAAAAAGCCAAGGAACAGATGGATGATGTCGTGGAAAGTGTGTACAGAAACCTTGATATGCCTATGTTGCAATCTAGAGGCTACACAGATGAGCTATCCTTATCAACAAATAGGGAGAATGAAGTCACTAGCAAGGATCGCGATGTTAAAGATGAAAAGGTAGTTACCGATGAAGTAACCAGCAGTAACAAGTTAAACGACCCGACAAGTCCAATACCTGTTTCTAAGGATAGTGAGTTGGTAAAAGGAGTAGATAGGCGCAACACACATGACCTGCCTTCAATAACGATAAACAGGGATTTAATCAATGCGCATGATAAACAAGAATATTCGTTTTACAAGGACGATGTGGATGAGTCATTTATTGTTTTAAAAAAAGCAATTCGATCTCTTACTGGTGAAGGAGAAAATGACGAAGCATTTTCGGTTGATGTCAGCCTTGACACTCGTGCACTGAGGAAAAACTTAGGTTCTTATGTGGCTGCTTGTATGGTTTCGCGTAATTTCAAGCTCCGTGAGGGAGCCTTGTTAGTGGTCACAGAACACATCAGTACAACTTTGAGAAGCTCTGCTGCGGCCGTAGAGGATGCTGTGCTGCGCTTTTTAGACTTCAATTCACTTGGATTGCAGGACTCCATACCTAACGTCGTATTTGCTGCCTGCAACTTCGTTCGAAAATCTCTAGCTGACGAATGCCATTGTATTAACAAATATCTCCAATCTATACTCAATCTCCTTCCACGGCTTCTGTGCCGTGCCTCCGAAACGAACCCTCGAATGCGCAGTGAGATTATGATGACACTTCAGCTATATGTTCAAGCCGTAAAGGTTCCTGATACAGCAATTTTTCAGGCTATTTTGGCAGATCCTATTGATCGTGAGAAGCGAAAGGTGCCATTCACTAATCCACGACCTCAAATAGTAAGGTTAAATTTGTTGAGGCTTTTGTTAAGTGCTGGTCGTCTGACGCTGCCTAACGCTAGTGGAGTTAACCTCACACGCAAGCTGCTGCTTCCGGCTGTTAATCACCAAAGCCCTGAAGTACGGGACACTGCAACTGCTCTTTATACATCGCTTGTATCCCTAAAATGTTTGCCTGTGAAGGAAAAGGACTTGATTAATATCACGAACTCTGGAATTAGACAAGCCATCCAGGCAGCCAGTGAATCATAGAAAGGTCTGAATACACCACTCATGTGAATTGCATTTACACATACATTCATAAAAATGTACCTAACACTGTATTTATTATAGATGGGTATATATTCTTAAGAACTAGTAGCGCCTTGTTTCTTCAAGATACTTGCTTGACAGATTTCTATATCAAAATAATTTGATTCTGTGTTACCTTTTCCCATTAATTGATTAACATTCATAGAGTTTTTTTTAATTATGAGCTATTTTCATACCTTGACTTTGTGGTCACCTTTCTACTGAAATTTTTTATTGAAAATAAACCACAAGCAACCTTAAAAAATAAAATTAGGAAATTGAACCATAGCCAAAGGGGGTTAGGAACCTGTATTATTTTATATCCTGAATTTTATGCTCAACATCCCGCCACAGGAGGATGGTACATCTGGGTCCGAAAGGGAGGATTTTATCGACCTGGAGGATCCTAATTTTGTAATTATTGAGGAAAATGAGGATATGAGTTTTGAATATGATGAAGAAGCCATCTCTTATGGCGGAGTCGACCCCCCAAGCAATTCTAAGGATAGTGATGGAGTGGGCCATATGGTTGGTTCGCTACCCGGGGAGGATGTCGAAGTCGAAGACCTCAACACTGCTCCTGATCGAACCCCGGAGCGTGATGACGCCATCGCCTCGTTTACGTGCACCGAGAGCAAACCTATTCACGTTGTCTCGATACATCCTACAACGCCATTCTTATTTGCCGCGTCGGGCGAGAGTGAAGAGGTGTACATTCTGCAACTTGATAACGAACAAAGAGAGGTGGAGTCGCTGCATACCCTTAAGGGTCATTCCGATACAGTAAGTTTGTTGTCCTTTTCTCCGAACGGAGAATGGCTCGCAAGTGGAAGCCTCGATTCGACGATTCGGTTGTGGTCAACGGAAACGTGGTCGACAACTTACACGCTAAGCGACTTATACGGTGAGATCATGACTTTCCTATGGCATCCCACAAGCTTGTTCTTCCTTGCTGGTGCTGATGACGCTCAAGCGGCAATGTGGAATGTGATGAAAGGCACGTTGTTGACGTATTTTGTTGGACACCGTGGGCCAATCTCCAGCATGGTGTGGTCACCCAACACAAAAAAAGTTATCACTGGAAGTGGGGATGGGTCAATCAGCGTTTTCAATCCTCGAACGGGCGTTCAGGAGCTTTGCCTGTCAAAAGATATCAGCCCTGACGCTGCTGGGATAACGAGCTTGTGCTTTGTGAATGATGATCATTGTGTAGTTGGCTGTGAAGACGGCACATTACACGTCTTTTCCTTCCGAAGTGGGAAAATTGTCACCCATATGGAAGAGTTGCATGATCAAGCTATCGAATCTGTGAGTGTCAGCACCACTCTCAACCTTTTTATTACATCTAGTTGCGACTGTAAAATTATTGTATGGAACATAAATGGGTTTGTTCCGCGAATGGTTCATGAAATAGAGGAAGGTATTATTCCTGCATTGTGGGTCGATCAATTTTTACTAGCCGGATGTAGTGATGGAAGTATTCGTGTTTGGGATGGCCGATCTGCCTCGCTTGAACCACTATACACATTTAAGGGTCACCGTCGTATGGTACTGAGTATGGCGGCAACTGAAAACATTATTATAACGGGAAGCGATGATGGGAACGTGAAGTTTTTTCATCTCACAAAGGATCTTTTTGAAGAAACATAGATATTTGTACTTCCTGGATTCTTATTTATTTCAAAAAGAATAATGAGAAAAAGTACGAGGATCGTGTAAGAATAATAAATACATTAGTATTTGCTTCACCGATTAAAATGATCCATTAATAAAGTAAGGAATATATATATATAATATCGTTAAGTAATTAACGACTATGGAGTAACTCCTTAATTTCTTGTTTCATTGTAATCGTAATTTTTTTATTTATATTATTAAGTCATATATGGTTGTTATATTATTTTTTATTAAATATCCAGATTAAACTTTCAGTGCCGCTTCGCACCTATTAGAGTTAGATTTTTAAAACACTTGAATCAGGAAAGAAGGAAACGCTGAAGGTAAAATTTAGTACACTAAAAGCATTCTAACACTTCTTTTTTCATTATTCAAAGAAGCCAGATGAATTCCTTACATGTTCAAGAGGTGAACGATGCGGATAATATGGGCAATGAGGCCAATACTCAACTTTTAGAGCTACAAGAGGGTTTCATGAAGGTTTTGACAAATACAGGCCTATTGGGAAAGCTTAAGGCGCAACTTCGTGCGGTGGCATTGGCGCTGCTTCGTGGTGACCCGAACCTCAGCCTTGCTGCAGTGGGACCTACTAACTCCTTTGCACAGGCTTCAATAGAAACCCAGATAGCTCTTTTAATAATAAACGACTTTCTGGCTATTAATCATCTCACTCAGACTGCAGGGGTTCTAGAAGTCGAGGCAGGAACTTCATTTCGCTCCAACCGTGTCGAAGACCAAGTGAAAAGGAGTATTGCCACCCTTTCTGGCGAAGGCACCATGTTAGAACGACTCATTCACCTTGCCATTCATAGAGATCATGTCTCTGAATCTCATTTGTCTGCTCTTCCATCCGTCGCCTTGGCTAATCCAGAACCGAAGCCAATGTCTCCATTGATGCGTGATGAAATACCTGTAGACGTTGAAGAGAATCCGAAGACGCTGCTTGAACCGATCGATTCAAAAATTCACTACGAATTAATGCAGTATGAAGAATCTATACCCTACAGCGATGTAGAGGAATGCTTGAAAGAAGACCTATATGCTATAATAGAATCCCTATAACGATTAGGAAAAAATACTCATGCAAGGTGTTTAACCACTTTGTTGCTCTCAGGTATCTCCCTGCGCTTTCCATTTATACCTCTAAAAGTGTTATCTTTAAGTCACCCATATAAATCTCCCTTTTCTTGATTTCTGTATCTTTTTTCGTCTTCACCACCCTTTATTTTCCTTATGCAATCCCGCAATAAAGCGTCAATAGTTTTTTTTGTGTCTTATTTGGTATCATTTGTTTATGGTGTGTGCATTTGATGCTTTTCTTATGCACGCGTCTCAACCTATGTTCGACCACAGTTGGTGAACGTGCTTTCCGCTGCTTTGTTGAAATCCTCAAGAAATGTGGAATTTCTGAGGGCTTTCAAATCCCTCAAACCCCGAATGATCTATCGAGCCGTGAAATTTTTCAGCCGTTTTTACCTCTTTTCACGCCGTATTTTCATTTCCACAACCAACAGCTCACTACTCTTGGCGATACTGTGATCGATGATTATCTATCAGCCGTGCTTTTGGACTATGGATCCCATTCGGGACTCTTAATGTCTGTGAATACCTCAAAGCAACTCAACTCCATTTTCCATAACCACTACTCGTTGCAGCTCTTTGCACACGAACTTCGCCTTGACGACCTCGCCATCCCCTTAACGCACAAGAGGGCGCCGGGCGATGTCGCGCTGGACTTTCTGGAGACCCAGCGGCCGCCTCTTCGGGACCTCGACACCGCCGGGACATCCTTTTACCTGGCCCCCCTGCCCAGCGGGCAAAGTCCCCTCGGCTGGAAGCTGTCACACTTTATTGGCTGCCTGCAGCGTTCGTTTGGGAACGCAGTGGGGATGCGAGCTCTACAGTCCCTGTATGATTTGGATAATACGGGTGACGTGGTTGGACGTGCTTCGTCGTTACTCTTGCGAACGGTGGAGCGCTTCCCAGCGTCAAACGTTGCGGGGGCATTGTTAGCCGCCCAGGGTGTCCCGGTCCGCTTTGTTGGCAAAACACGCTTGCTTCCCCAAGATGATCACAACCACACCGAAGGTAAAAAAAGGTCATCCCAAGTGGATAGCGAGGCCCAAAACTGTGACTCCAGGAATCCCACACCGGTAAGGAATCTTACTTGCTATACTGATATCAGCTATCGTAACGTCGATGGTGGCCATCCAAATGATCATCTCATCGCATTGGGTGGGTTTGGCACTAAGCATTCACTAAAGAATATTTCTCTAGATGCCATTGCTGACTCCAAAAATGCACGTGAGACTCTAGCAGCCGGTCCTGGTGTAGTGGATTATGTCCAAATATGGAAGCAACGTACCGCTGAACTTGTCGAACGCAAATTAGAGAGTCCACCGGAGGTTGTCCCGGAGGATGGGTGGATGACTACGGCGGAACAACGGCAGTATAAGAACGGGCCGGCGTTTTCTCACACGGTTGATTTTTCATTATTCCGATCGTTCGCTGACGAGTATGGCTGTTCACAGCCTGTTGACGGGAGGTGGGTTGGGAGGAGGAAGTTTAAGAAGGCAGTTCGGGATCCGTTGTTTTATGACAAGCGCTCAGATATGCGGAATGGTGTTCCATTCTCCACAAATGGAGAGCCACTTCAGGATTATCTGGAGCGTTTTGATCGGGCTCATGAGCGGTTATTTGAAGTCACAATGTTGACCGGTATGTATGAGGAGCGTGTTCTCGGGAGGGCAATCGCATCGCGCTACACAGTAGCACGAGAGTTGGCGTGCAGGGCATACCTTGGCGGTGTTCTAAATGATCTTAGCATGCTTTTAAATCAGCATGAGGGCTAAACCTAAACATGATTTTCGCAAACCATTTGTTCATATGCGATATGTCGCAGCTTGAGATCATCCAATTGCGGGGCATGAAGAAACGGATAATGCGGTGTCTCACTGTGGGCGTTTTTTCTATCTTTACAAGCTGTGGGGTTTATGAATTCCTCTCTATTCTAGCAGTTCTCCCTTATTCTTCCACAATTAGAAGTTTGATGAAGGAATATCAAGACGTCCCTTCCGCTAACCAAGCTCTTAGCATATCTTGTTAAACATGCTTTTGTGTAAAACAACTTTTCAGCAGCGCTTTCCTGACGATTGTTGCCGTATTTTTCCAACTCAGCAGAAACTTTTTGAATTTCTGGATGACCGAAAGCCCATGGGTACAGAGTCATTTATATGGCTTCCTTTTTCTATTGAGTTTCCTTCTGAACTCGATGTCAGTCAATGCTTGTCACGCCGTATCAGCACTGGGACATTATTTAAGAAAACAAGACCAATAGACAGAAACGATACGTCAAACGGAAAGCGGAATAATTTACAAGTTGTTCGAGAAGACTATTGTCTTCTTTACGGAGAAACACCGTTATCCAAACAGAGTCGCATGTTTTTGGCCGCTACGATCAACGGGATCCGGTTAATTATTCAGACTATTAATCCTCTTCAGCTTCATTTGTACGAGGTTATACGTGAATCTACTCCTTGTCATCTCTACTTTGATGTAGAATGCTCCGGTAATTATGTATGCCGTCAGGAAGAAATTGAGTTAGATTCCTTCAGTGATGTCGATGAGGCGAGAGACGATGAGGTTGTTATCTGTCCTGAGCGTAAAAATGATATTCTGGTCGCTTCTATTTTATTAAATGGCATTCCTCAAATTTACAGGGCTCCCGTTTCAGAGTATGAGAAGCTTCTCCGATCTTCAAGCATTCCAACGCGTTTTTGTCCTCTCACCTGTACCATACTTCCAGACGGAATGCACACCGAAGAGGTTTTACTCGCTGAGCTCCGGGCTTTCATCGTGAAGCATTATCCCTTTTTGGAGACCAGGGACTGCCCCAAGCAAACTCCGTCCTTTATTGAATCCATTGCTCACACTGTTTTTGTGATGCGTTCTGCGTCTTTGGTTACTGATACGCGAACGGTGCAGAAGTTCTCGCAACATTACGTTGTAAATCTGCATCGACACATTTTTGAAAGCAACGCATCGGTAGGGGAGTTTGTGAAGCAGTTCGTCGAGCATCTTCAGACACGGTGCGGAGAAAGCCCCGAGGTGCACCAAGCACTATTTTACCACGGCGCGCCGGTTGTTGAGAATCTGATGGGTGGCTTAACGGAGACCCAGCTCTGTCTGTCCTTGCCGTTTTTCCCCCGTAGATGCATCATTGACACCGCTGTGTATACTCGCAACCGTATGATGCGTTGCCTAGGTAGCTGCAAGCTTCAGAAAGACAGTGTGCTGAAATTAGAGTCTGTAGTACGAAATGGCAAACTCGTTAATTTTGAGACCAACTCGCCATTTGAAAATTTTATTTCAACCTTGATAGTTGCTTATGACTGGAATTCCCCCTTGGCAGTTGACAAAAGAAGCCTTCTCCATATTGAGGGGCAAGACCACCCAATGAAAAATGCCCTTATGAAGCTTGATATAACAAAATGCGCCAAATATAAGAATTCTATTGCCCCCTCCTATTGCTGTAATGAATTTGACCACGTGTTCGCTTCGAGCTCTATAAGTCAGATCGAGACATGTTACAGTGATATATGTGGATGTAAGTGTTTTATCACGTCCATAGTGCGCATAGATGAGCGCAACCTGATTCTTTCACTTGGTGGGACGCGTTACTGTCAAAACGTTATGCGTGAACACAAATCTAATAATATCTATCTCGTTGTTAATCTTATAAAGAAAACCTGGGTTCAGAAATGCCATGATCCTGACTGCTCACATTACCGTTCACAGCCTATCAATTTTTAACTTTACACCCATATACTCATACTCAACCTTCGAAAAATACATGAGCTAAAAGTGGTCCAGTTTGTCCGAAGCAAACCACGTCTGCACCTTATTTTGTATAGTATGATTATATATGGATAGAGGGAGGGGGGGGGGGG